CTCTGAGAAGGCAGGAGACTGGGGACAGTTGGGGTCATGCAGAAGTTGTCGCTGTCTTTGCACAAACAGGTGGACCCCTGAGGCCTGGCCCTGCTCCTCCCCTGGCCCTCCAGGCCCTGACTGTCACTCCTTGTCTTTCATCCCTGGGATCACGTCAGGATGGCTGGAAGCACAGTGGAGTTGCGAGAAGAGGGAGGGCGTCAGCACAGCACAGCTCACTGACAAATACTTTCACTTCCCTTTTCCCTACTTGGGCGGAGTCAATCTCTGGGTGAGTCCCAAGAGCAGACTTCCTGCTTAGGGCTCAGGGCTCCAGCAGCCTCCCGGGACCGGATCGAGGCTGGGGAGCCTGGAGGGGTCGGAGGCCAAGCTCAGGCCCAGGCCAGGCTGGGCGGGAAGATGGCTGGTGGGGGCAGCGAGCTCAGCAGCAGGTCAGTCTTTCTCCCCCTTCCTCCCACCTTTCCCTCTGGCCTCGCTGCTGCTTCAGTGCTGTCCTTTGGACTCTGCACTAAGCCTCTGCTTTACGCCTGGTGTAGAGGAACAGTCACCTGCAGTGTAATGAAGGGCAGGAATGTATAATGAGGAAATCGGATTTTAAACTGCCGCAGGGTGCCTGCTGGTTGAGTCCTGCAGCCACAACACAGGTGACTACTTGTTTTGCAGCTACTGCTCAGCTGGCAGGCCTGTCTGAAGGCAGCAGTCCTTCCTGAGGCTTTGCAGCAAGGATTTATTTCCTTGTGACCCCAGGTCACTCTCGTTCCCCTCAGGTCAGTTCTACCTTCACAGAGGTCATTTCAAAGAAGGTAGTTTCAAAAATAAAAAATTCAGGAGAAACCCCTGATTTATTCTCAAACCCTGGGTGGTGCTGTCGGTCTCGTACCTGTCCTGTGGACGGGACCACTATTCCCACTTCTAACTGGGGGCCTGGGTTCTTCCTCCAGCGATCCTGAACAAAGAAATTAAAGGGAAGAGAAATACCCCAAACTGCAAAGAGCTAGCACAGGCTGAGTAATTTTATGTCTGGTTTCATTTTCTGTTCTGGAGTAGGTTACACCTCTACAAGAAAAAGAGTAGAAATCCTATCTTTTTCTCTAGTAATGGGTCAGAAATACCACTACTTAATATTTTAAATTTTTTGATTTTTTAATACAAAAGAAATACATTATGCATTCTTGCTCATAAAATTTCAAACGATACAGAAGTATATAGAGGGAAAAAGTCCTGTTCACCACTCACCCACTTGCAGCTTCCAATACCAGTCCTGTTAGAGTCGCAGGCATAACCTTCCAGATCCTTTTCTTTGCATTTACATATATAACTCATTTTCTTAAATACAAAATTTGAATCCTGTTTTTTAAAAAATGGATTCATATTGTGAATGCCATTTTGCATTTTCACTTACTTCAATAGCCATAGGCTCTTCTCATTCTTTTTAACAGCTATATATTGGGTTGGCCAAAAAGTTCCGTAAGAGGTTACAGAAAAATCCGAACAAACTTGTTGGCCAACCCAATACTATCCGGTAGAATGTATATACACCATCGTTTTTATTGTTTGTTTATTTAATTGAAGTATAGTTGATTTGCAATATGGTGTTAGTTTCAGGTGTACAGAAAAGTGATTCAGTTCTATATATATATATATATATATATATATATATATATATTCAGTTATATATATATATATATATATATATATATATATATATATGTATATACACACACACACACACACACATATACACATAAAAATATATATTCTTTTTCAGATTCTTTTCCCATATAGGTTTTACAAAATATTGAGTATAGTTCTCTGTGCTATACAGTAGGTCCTTGTTGTTTGTCTACTTTATATACTAGTGTGTATATGTTACTCCAAAATTCCTAATTTATCCCTCCCCCCACGTTTCCCCTTTGGTAACCATAGTTTGTTCCCTATGTCTGTGAGTCTGTTTCTGTTTTGTAAATAAGTTCATTTGTATCATATTTAGATTCCACAAATAAGTGATAATAAATGAGACTTGTCTTTCTCTGTCTGACTTACTTCACCTCTAGGTCCCTCCGTGTTGCTGCAAATGGCATTATTTTGTTCTTTTTTATGGCTGAGTAATATTCCATTGTATAAATATACCAATCTTCTTTCTCTGTTCATCTGTTGATGGACATTTAGGTTGCTTCCACATCTTGGCTACTGTAAATAGTGCTGCTATGAACCTTGGGGTGCGTGTATCTTTTCCAAGTATGGTTTTCTCCAGATATATGCCCAGGAGTGGGATTGCTGGATCATATGGTAGCTCTATTTTTAGTTTTTTAAGGAATCTCCATACTATTCTCCATAGTGGCTATACCAATTTACATTCCCACCAGCAGTGTAGGAGGGTTCTCTTTTCTCCACACTGTCTCCAGCATTTATTATTTATAGACTTTTTGATGATGGCCATTCTGACTTACACCATAGTTTTGTTTTGTTTTGTTTTGTTTTTTTATTTTTGGCTGCATTGGGTCTTTGTTGCAGAGTGCAGGCTTATTGCAGCGGCTTCTCTTGTTGCGGAGCATGGGCTCTAGGTGTGTGGGCTTCAGTAGTTGCAGCATGTAGGCTTCAGTAGTTGTGGCTTGTGGGCTCTAGAACGCAGGCTCACTAGCTGTGGCACACAGGCTTAGTTGCTCCGCGGCATGTGGGATCTTCCCGGACCAGGGCTTAAACCCATGTCCCTTGCATTGGTAGGTGGGTTCTTAACCACTGCGCCACCAGGGAAGCCCCATACACCATGGTTTTTAAAGCATCCCTCCTCCCCACCCTATTGACAGACATTTAGATCATTTTCAATTGTTCACTTTTACCAAGAAGCAGTGATAACAACAATTATGTATTTCTTTATATTTTTGTACATATAAAAGTGTTTGTCTTGTGTCAATAACCAAAAAAATGGAATTGCTGAGGCAAAGGGTACTAATATTTAATTGTTTATAGATTCTGCAAACGGCCTTTCTAAGTAGCTGAACCAATGTATTCACCTACAAGATTTAGGTGAGCCATCTCCCCACACCCAAACTTTACAGAGGTGGTGGATCAAGAGTTGCATCTTGTTAACTTTACTCTCCTGATTACATGAGAGGTTGAACCGTTTTTTTCGTTTATTGGCCTCTTCTATGAAGTGCTGGTTGATTTATTGCCAGTGTTAGTGAGTTGAGGTGATTGTTCTTTCTTTAACTGTAAAAGGGAGAATTTGCTAAAATTCTGAAACTTATAAATATACTTTCCTTGCCCTTTCACTTTGTTGCGGTGACTTTATCTTATTAAAGTTTAAACTTTAAAGTATAGCCTTATTATTGTATTGATTTTATAAAATAGATGTACCCTTGTTATTATGAATAAATAAAGTGATGCAGAAAGTTATTGATAAATTCTGTGTGCACAGTCTTTAAATATAGCCCTTGTGTTTTTAAGGTGATAGATTCAATTCTCCCTTTACTTCAGGGTAAGTTTCTCCTCTAGTATCACCAAAATGATTTTCTTTTTCAATTTTGGGGCAAAATTATTCTTCCACTGGAGCAACTTCAGCCTTCACAGCTTTTATCTGTCCCTAATCTTTCATCTCTTTAGCTTTTTACTTTCTGCTCATAATGGTTGTCTCAAATTTTCTTCATGACAATTATTTAATTTTTAGTAGTTTTTGGTTTCTTGGGGTTTTTTTTAAGTTGATTTGTTTATTTGGGGGGATCTTAATTTGTTTCTACAGCTCTTCCAACTCCACTTGAAGTCATATATTGTTCTTTTATCACCCTATCTTCATGCTCTTGCTTTATTATTTAGGTTTTTGTGTGATGTTCAGTGCTTTGGGGATGTTTTCTTCATCCTCTGGGTTATCCTTCCAGATTGATTCTATTTGCAGTTTGGTTTCAAGTGTTGCTTTACTTTCTTGTTCATATGCCTGCCGTGGTTTTACAGCCCATTTCATTCCAGCATCACCTGGGCAGCTCTCCCACCACCCACAGCCTTAAGCTGAGTGAATGTTTTTGTTTTTTCCCCCCACATTTCCTGTCTTACCTGAGACCATATTACTTCCCATCTGATCTACGGTTAAAGCTTCTAATTTTAATTCTTATGAATTTTTGTCTGAGAATCCTTTAATCTGTTAAACCATATCCCTTTCCCCACTGATCTGCAGTGCTCCCTTTCCCATTAGCCAAGGGGCCATATGTGCAGGGTCTGTTTCTGTGCACTCTCTTCTCTGACATTGACCTATGACAGCCTCTCCTTATGCGTTTCCACACTGTCATGACAACAACAGCTTCACGTGAACTCTTGAAGAGTAAATCTTCCCATGTTCTTTTCTTCTTCCAAAGTGTCTTGGCCCTTTGCATCTCCAGATCAGTTTGTCAAAATCTTGTCGAGATTTTGGTTAGGATTGCGTTGACTCTATAGGTCAATTTGAAGAGAACTGACATCTTTACAATCTTGTCTTCCATCTCATTAATATGGTGTATATATATTAATTTTAAAATATTTTCTAATAAAATTTAAACTTTTCTGTCTAGAAGTCTTATATTTCTGCTAGATTTATTCATAGATACTGGAGATCTTTGTGCTATGATATCTATATAATTTAAAAATCAACTTTCTAGCTGCTTGTTACTAAGATATAAAAATAAATTGAAACTGCCAAACTTTAAAAAATTCTAATAATTGTATGGAGATATATATTTTGTATATAGATATAAATTTATATAATGTATACGTAATGACTATTTTGTTACTTTCAATCTAATTCTTATACTTCCTACTTCTTTTTCTTTCCTTACTGTGTGGGCTAGGACTTTGTACATGGTGAATATAAGTAGTGATAGCAATCATCTCTATCTTGATTTCAGTCCCAAAGGGAAGTCCTGTATCATTATACAATTATGAATGATGTTTGCTATAGGTTTTCTTTTTTAATAAAAAGACTTACACAGATTAAAGAAGTTTTATATTTGGCATCTGATACTTTCAATATATGAGGTGTTTGTGACCCTGTTTTCTGTTGTTTCTGCCAGTTCTCACTCACAAATTTCTTTTTTTAAATAAACTTTTTATTTTGGAATAGTGTTATATTTACAGAAAAGTTGCAAAGATATTACAGCAGTCTCTAATACTGTACACCCAGTTTCATTTCCTGTGTTGTTATCCTCTTACATTATTGTGGTACATTTGTCAAAACTAATAAAACCCAATATTAGTAGGTTACTGCTAACCAAAGCCCAGACTTTTTTCAGTTTCACCAGTTTTTCCACCAATGTCCGTTTTCTTTTGCAGAATTGAATCCAGTATACCACATTGCATTGAGCCATCCCATCACCTCTTCTGGTCTGTGACAGTTTCTCAGTCCTTCCTTGTCTTTCACAACCTTGACAGTTTGAAGAGTACTGATCAGGCATTTTGTAGAATCTTT